ATCAAGCTCCTGATGTGTTGATTGTGGTGACAATCATAGCCTTTTAGATGACAGAGATGGTGCAATCCAACAACTCCACTTTCATAGTCAGTAAGCCTGAGGCCAAGAGAGTGGCTTAGCAGCAGTACATCACCCACTTAGTCAGTGAGAGAACCAAGAAAAGCGTTTGGGTGTTGCTATGGGGTGAGCTGTGTCCCTCAAGATTCATATGCTGAAGCGCCAGCACTTCAGAATGGGACCATATTTGGAGACTTGGTTTTTGTTTTTGGCTTTACTTATGTTTGAACTCAGGGCTTCCGCGTTTGCTAGTCAGGAGCTCTACCACTTAAGCTATACTTTCAGCTGGAGAGAGGGTCTTTTAAGAATAATTAAGTTGGAGTCTTTGCTCCCCGTTTCCTGCATAGAGAACAGGAAATGCTTCTCTCTCCCCACCCCCATACTTTATCTTGCTATACTAAAATAAATCTTTGTTAAAACATCTTTGAAAAAAGAGTAATTAAGTTAAATGAGGTAATTAGGGCTCACCCTAAGAAGAGGAGACTGGACACAGGTAAGTACAGCAGGAAGACCATGTGAAGACCTAGGAAGAAGATGCCATCCGTCTACCAATGAGAGAGGTCTCAAAACAGGCCAATCCCACCAATACCTTGATCTCGGACTTCCAGCCTCCAGAACTGTGAGGAATAAATTTGTGTTGTTAAGCCACCCAGATGGAGACAGGTTGCTGTGGCAGCCCTGACTAAGACTGGTATCCTAATGGAAAGGTCCTGCTCCTGTTGTTACTTGACAGCTTCCACAGGTAAGTAGGATGGGGTTAAGAGGCTGGGAAGGAGTTCTCTGCAGGCCTCAGCTGCTGGGAGAAGGACAAAGTTTATGCTCAGACACTGTGTGTAGTGTCTGACACATGGAGGCCCCTGGGTGTCTTGGAGAATGTTTTTGGAATGAATAAGCTGCCCAAGCAATTTGCAATGTCACTCAATGAATTCATTCCCATCTATAAGACTCAGAAGAAATTAATCAAGATCAACTCAGTAGCAAAGGTATTTTGTAATTGATAATAATGATGATGATTTAATTTATGTACAGTGACTGTCAACAAATATCACTGGTTTATTTGTGTCTTAACTCCCTATCCTGATTGTAGTTTCACTGTGGGCAAAGACTACAGTACTGTACTCATTTTTGTATTCTTTGCTGTTGAGAAAAGAAAAAAGATCCTCATTAGATAATGAGAAGAAACATTAGCAATGATCCAAACAAACAGTTCCCCTGCTCTAGCATCAGCACAAGGTTACTTAATTGGGGTTTCTAGAGCAGCTCTATCAGACTCCCTGGTGATAGACTGCCTTCTGGTGGCACTGGGCCTGTAGATCAGCTTTCAGGGTCGGATGTAGTCTGTGTCTGACATATGTTTGTCTCAGAACCCTGCTGAATTTCCTGACAGCTGTCCAAATCCAGGGTCGAGCAAAATTTTTCTTGGGTTTTCTGCTGCTTCTTATATATGAGACTTGTAGCCTGATACTCCTCCTCCTTTGAGTGAAATCTTAAATTCCACGCCCCAAATTAGCACTGCTTTCACTCCCTTGTACTCCCTTTGTTTGCATTGATCTCCCAGAGGAGTTTTGGAAACTCCTCTTCCATTGATTCTCAAACAACATGTTGGAATAGGCTGGTCTAGAATATTAATCTTATTAAAAAAAAATTTGTTGAGTATGGATTGTGCTTAGATTGGAAAATTAGGGCCAAAAGGATGAAAAGACCACGGCTAGCTTAATCCACTGAGCATAGAAGGTCCTGTGCCTGAAACACAAGATGTTTTTAAGGGTCTGAGAAAAGTTTTGTCATTTATTTTACAATCAGAATTAAAAAATGGCCAGGCACTGGTGGCTCACACCTGTAATCCTAGCTACTCTGGAGGCAGAGATCAGGAGGATCATGGTTTGAAGCCAGTCTAGGCAAATAGTTCAAGAGACCCTGTCCTTCCTTATCTCAACCAGCAAAAACTCTTGTTCCTTCCTATTATTGCTTATACTCTCTCTACAACAAAATTAGAAATAAGGGCAAAATAGTTTCTGCTGGGTATTGGGGGGGGAGAGGGAGGGGGCGGAGTGGGTGGTAAGGGAGGGGGTGGGGGCAGTGGGGAGAAATGAACCAATCCTTGTATGCACATATGAATAATAAAAGAAAAATGAAAAAAAAAAAAAAAAGAGAGACCCTGTCTTGAAAAAACCCAACACAAAACAGGGCGGTGGAGTTATATGCCCTGAGTTCAAACACCAGCACCACAGAGGAAAAAAAAGAGGAATTTATAGGTAAAATCAAATGAAAGTTTTTTTTGGGGTGGTGTCTCTTGAATGATTTGCCCAAGCTTGATACCTCAGTCCTCCTAATCTCTACCTCATGAGTATCTAGGATTACAGGTGTGAACCACCAGTGCCCCGTTCATTGGTTATTTTTGAGATAGGGCCTTGCTTTATGTTTGGACTGGCCTGGACTGTGATCCTACTATTTGTGCCTCTCCACATAGCTGGGAAGACACATGTGTGACACTGCACCTAGACATTGATGGAGAAGGGGTCTCTTGAACTTTTTGACTGGACAGGAGTCAAACCTCAGTCCATCCAATCTCTGCCTCATAGGCTCGAGTCCCTTACCCAGCAAGAAAGCCCCACTCTTTTTTTTTTTTTTTAAATTTTTATTTTTTTACTATTGGTATATGCATACAATGCTTGGGTCATTTCTCCCCCCTGCCCCCACCCCCTCCCTTACCACCCACTCTGCCCCCTCCCTCTCCCCCCCACCCCCTCGATACCCGGCAGAAACTATTTTGCCCTTATCTCTAATTTTGTTGTAGAGAGAGTATAAGCAATAATAGGAAGGAACAAGGGTTTTTGCTAGTTGAGATAAGGATAGCTATACAGGGAGTTGACTCACATTAATTTCCTGTGCATGTGTGTTACCTTCTAGGTTAATTCTTCTTGATCTAACCTTTTCTCTAGTTCCTGGTCTCCTCCTCCTATTGGCCTCAGTTGCTTTTAAGGTATCTGCTTCAGTTTCTCTGCATTGAGGGCAACAAATGCTAGCTAATTTTTTTAGGTGTCTTACCTATCCTCACATATCCCTTGTGTGCCTCGCTTTTATCATGTGCTCAAAGTCCAATCCCCTTGTTGTGTTTGCCCTTGATCTAATGTCCACATATGAGGGAGAACATACGATTTTTGGTCTTTTGGGCCAGGCTAACCTCACTCAGAATGATGTTCTCCAATTCCATCCATTTACCAGCAAATGATAACATTTCGTTCTTCTTCATGGCTGCATAAAATTCCATTGTGTATAGATACCACATTTTCTTAATCCATTCGTCAGTGGTGGGGCATCTTGGCTGTTTCCATAACTTGGCTATTGTGAATAGTGCCGCAATAAACATGGGTGTGCAGGTGCCTCTGGAGTAACCTGTGTCACAGTCTTTTGGGTATATCCCCAAGAGTGGTATTGCTGGATCAAATGGTAGATCAATGTTTAGCTTTTTAAGTAGCCTCCAAATTTTTTTCCAGAGTGGTTGTACTAGTTTACATTCCCACCAACAGTGTAGGAGGGTTCCTTTTTCCCCTCATCCTCGCCAACACCTGTTGGTGGTGTTGCTAATGATGGCTATTCTAACAGTGGTGAGGTGGAATCTTAGTGTGGTTTTAATTTGCATTTCCTTTATTGTTAGAGATAGTGAGCATTTTTTCATGTGTTTTTTGGCCATTTGAATTTCTTCTTTTGAGAAAGTTCTGTTTAGTTCACTTGCCCATTTCTTTATTGGTTCATTAATTTTGTGAGAATTTAGTTTTTTAAGTTCCCTATATATTCTGGTTATCAGTCCTTTGTCTGATGTGTAGCTGGCAAATATTTTCTTCCACTCTGTGGGTGGTCTCTTCAGTTTAGAGACCATTTCTTTTGATGAGGAGAAGGAAAGTCCCATTTTTTTTTATTGTTTTATTATTCATATGTGCATACAAGGCTTGGGTCATTTCTCCCCCCTTCCCCCACCCCCTAAAGCCCCATTTTTGATGAGACAAATGTCTTACAGGATACCCGTGTCTTGGACTTATTCCCTGCCCACTTTTCTGGACAGCCTTAAAATGCCAGTTAAAGTTAACTTTTTTATGAGCACTTGAGAGACCCTGTTAGACATCTCAGGGCACTTCCAATAGGGGGAACCTTATAGACAGAGCTGCTAGCCTGGGAATATGAAGTGGTGTCTCATTGTGGTTTTCTTTCTTTCTTTCTTTCTTTCTTTTTTTGGGGGGGTTTGAACTCAGGGCTTATACCTTGAGCCACTCCACCTGCCATTTTGTGATGGGTTTTTTCAAGACAGGGTCTCTTGAACTATTTGCCTAGTCTGGCTTCGAACCGCGATGCTCTTGATCTCTTCCTCCTGAGTTGCTAAGATTCCAGGAATGAGCCACTGGAGCCTGGCTCATTGTGGCTTTCAAATTTGCTTTTTGCTGAGCATTGGTGGCTCACACCTATAATCCTAGCTACATAGCTAGGATCTCTACCGAGATCAGGAGAATGTGATTTGAAGCCAGCCTGGGCAAATAGTTCAAGAGACCCTATCTCAAAACTACTCAACACAAAAAAAGGCTGACAGAGTGGCTCAAATGGCAGAATGCCTGCCTAACAAGTGTGAGGCCCTGAGTTCAAACTCCAGTTCCAAAAAATAAATAAATGAATGAATGACTGTACTTCTACTGATGACTAACGATTTTGGGTATCTCTTCATGGGTTTGGAGTCCTACATGTTTTTTGAGAAATGTCTGTTCAGATCATTTTCCTTCAACATAGATCAAAACCTTGCTAAAGCTGATAAACAATAAGATTCCTAGAAGAAAACACAGGGATAAATTTTAATGACTTTGGTTTTGGCAAAAGATTCTTAGTTATGACACCAAAGTCATAAAGAGCGGATTCCCGCTCCCCGCAAGCATCCGCGTCCTCCAGGGCCTGAGCACATGGTCAGCTCTGCAGCCCATGCAGCGCCAGACCTGGGTGCAAAGGAGCTGCCACCAAGTGCCCTCAAAGATGGGAGGAAAAGGACCATGAAGGATGAACACCAAATACTTGGTGACGAACAAGGAAACAAGAGAAGGCGCCTTGATGACACTGCAAACAAAAATGCCTTATCTGAACTCCTGCTGGCTACCGGGGACCCTGCTTCTTTTGTGCCTAGGTCTGAGTCCCTAAAGAGAGGCCTCACTTCCCAGAGTTCAGAAGACCTCAAGAGCAAGCGATCTTGCACCTCTTCTGTGTCAAGCATGCACACAGGTGACATCCTTTGCTCTAGCCGCAATGCCATTACTAGTTCCTACAGCTCTACAGTAGGCATCTCACAGCTGTGGAAGAAAGGGTGTCCCACCTCACCCCCCTTTTCTAGCCAGGGCTCCTCTGGCTCCCAGATGTCAGAGAGACCAAGTCAAGAAAGCACGAGAAGAAGGGCTGTGTCATTCATCCAATTCTTCAGCTCCACAGGGGACCCCCAAGGAGTTCCAGGGTGAAAGGGCTGCAGATGGGACTACAGGGCCACAGAAGGACTCCAGAACTTCCTCATCCACACCTGCCATGTCAGGGAGCCGAAGACGGAAGACCCGGCTGCTGCCCTGCAGGCGAGGGGTTCCACTGACCTTGCCGCCGCCTCTTCAGCTTGGCTGTCCCATCATTGCAGAAGACCTGGACCTGGAGAGGAAGGCGAGGTTCCAGTGGTTTAACAAGGCCTTGGAGGACAAGACTGATGCAGCCTCCACTTCTGTTCCTGAGAAGTCACTGCCTACTCAGCCCTCTGTCACTTTCACCCTGCCTGCAGCCAGTCCTGCTCCTTCACTGGACTCTCTTCTGGTGTCAAGTTCGAATGTGCTGCTGGAGACCTGCAAGAAGATGGACAGCCCTGGTGGCCCATTGGCTTCCACAGACCCTCCCTCAACAACCTCCACTTCAGCCCCTTCAATGCCCAAACAGGTGGTCTTCAGGACCCTGCTGTCTCTTCCCTGCCATGTCCCCCACCAGGCACTTTATCCTTGGCTTTCCTAGTGCTGCCCCCTGTTTCCTCCATGACAGCAGTCATGAACACCAAGTCACTTCCAGCCCCTCAGGCTGAGACCTCTGCAAAAGCCCAAGGCCCCTGGGACCCCGCCCCCACCCTAAAGCCAGGAGAAGACATGCCAGGAGTGGAGGGGGAAGAACTGTTGGGAGGCCCACTGCTCTGCACCCCAAATAGCATCCTGTTTGAGGTGCAGAGCAGCCGGCCTCCCAACCCTCCTTCCCCTGTCACTCCTGGCCTGTCTTCTGCTTGTCCCATATCCCAGTTTCTCTTCCTGATCCCATCTAAAGGCAAGAGAGACAGCCCCATGTCCTGGAGCCCTTCAGCCACACCTGGAACTTCCTCTAGCCCCACCCTCTCAGCCACCACTGGCACCACCACTTGAGTTTGAAACCCATCCTTGGCAACACTGGGCCACCTACTTCTGTTACTTTCTCATTCTACCAAAGCCCCTGTCTTTACTGGGCTGACCACCACCCCATCCACAGTGGTTTCTGTTACCACAGCTTGCAAATCCGCAGATTCTGCTTCAAAACGCTTGTATGGGTTTGAGGTTAATGGCCTGTGTAGCAGCAGGAGCAGTGCGACAAGAAGCATGGTTTCCACCTCCCAGCCATTCTTCTTTGGGGTCCCCCCTGCCTCTGCCACCAGCTTCCCTGGAGCCATGAGCTCCAGACTTGAGTCTAGCCAGCCTGGTGCCCTGCAGACCTCAGTAGCAGCCAGACCGTTTGGCCAGCCTCTCTCCAATGCTGCTGAGATGGCCACCATGCAGGGCAGCACAGCTGGCTTCAGCGATTTCAGTTGCCACCTCACCACCTCCGCCAAGGTAACCACCAGTCAGCCGACACTGACCTTTGGCATCACCACCACCCCTGCTTTCCAAGTTCCCTTTGGTTGTGGCTCACAGCCTAGAATTCGGGCCAGAAAGGTGCAGCAGCAGGCGACCCCCATGCCACCCCTTGCCCTGCGCTGTGGCAGTACATTCCCATTTGTGAAGTCTGGGGCCCCTTGGCCACCTGCAGTGCCTGGGTGCCAGGGCAGCCTTGGTTGGCTCTGTGCCTTTGGTGAGCCAAGGTGGGAAAGGCTTGACCTCTTTGCTCCATGCCTCAGCCCACAGGCAGCCCACCTTTGGTTGGACCACCTCAGTAGCTCCCACTACCCAGGCCACCAGCACAGGCACCAGTAGCTACAAGCTTGGTGGCTGCACTCGGGCTCCTTTTGTCTTTGGGGGCTCAGTGGCCCCTGCTGACCATGTGGGCTTTAGGGATGGTAAGGCCACCCCAGTCACCAGCTCCACCTCTGGATCATTCAGTTTCCGAGTTGGCCAGGGTGGGACCACAGGTTCCTCCACTTCCTTTGTGGCTGGCTTGAGTCAGAATGCCCTGGACACAGGTGGCCAGAGTGCAGCCTTTGCCTTCAAGGTGGCCAGCAGACCTGAGCGCAAAGCCTTGTCCAGAGACCCCTACACGCCCAGCTTTTCGCATAGCACCCTGCCCCTGGGGGTGGGAGTGTCTTGCTTGGAGCCTCCTCAGCACCCACCCACTGCAAGCTGAGAGCTGTTCCTTTGGGACCAGCGACTCCTTCACTTCACACCAAAGTGGCACCGAAGATCCCAGTGGTTCGACAGCAATTGTAGGCTCATAGGCAGCACACTTGCAAGAAATAGCTTCTGTCCCTGTCCTGACCCCTTTCTCCAGGAGACAAGCCACAAAAGTAGGTAGGATGTAGTCTGTTGATTCTACTCCCTCCTTGCTTTACCGCTGCCTCTTCAGAATGGGACCTTCCAAGCCCGTCCTGGGTCCTGTCTGCTGCTCAGATGTGTTGCCCTGTATCCTTTGCAGGAAAAACTGAAGTGCTTGTGTGGCCACTCTTGCTGGTGCTGGACTGAACTGTCTCCAGGCTCCTGGTATGGCTAGCTGGACTGGACAGTGGCTCTCTTTGATGGCCATAGGCAGGTCCCCCTCTCCCAACAACCAATCCTGTTTGGATGAAGTATGAATGCATGCACCTTAAGTTAATAGCAAAAAAATTTAAACATTTTAATAAAATAAAAAACTAGTTTTGTTTTTAAACTCAATTCTCTTTTAAGGTCCTTCTTGGTTTCTGTCTTTAACTGTAAATGTGGTTCACAAGGCATTAGCTGTGTAGTTAGGTTATGCCTGGGTGACAAGGTGCTGGGTCTGGTCCCCACAGCCCTCCTGAGGGTCTGAGTGCCTTCTGGATAAATGCAATTCTTATTTTATTAGCAATGTGATGTATCTGTAACCAACCCCCTCCCTTTATGATTGAGGCTGAATGTCATGTGTGTGTCAGGCACTGACCAGGCAACCCTAGGAGATGGTGGCTAAAGGGCCTGGCTTGGCAGAGTGGAGCTGGGAAGGAGCTTGGAAGTTAAATCCCCAACACTTGTGAATATTGGAGCGCAGGTGAGTGTGGCTAGAAAAGCCTCTACCTGCACCCCAACTGGGTGAAGCCTCTTAGTTTAGCCTGAACCAATTCATCTCTGTCACACTCAGGGAACTTTGGTCCTGTTGCATCCATAGCGTGTATGAGGGAGCATGTGGGTGTCTGCACTAGAGAGATGGAAAGCTGGGGCTCCCCAACCCAGACCTCATTCCTACTCCATCTAGTTGGGATTTTTAGTGTGAGTGTGAGACTTTTTTCTCCTAATGTCAGTAAAAATTTAAAAACTGAGCTAGCATAAAGATTTTCTTTGTGTGTGGTACTGGGGTTTTGAACTCATGTCTTAATTTTTTTCTCTCTTTTTTTTTTGTTTTATTATTCATATGTGTATACAAGGCTTGGGTCAATTCTCCCCCCGCCCCCACCCCCTCCCTTACCACCCAGTCCACCCCCTCCCTTCCCCCCCACCCCCTCAATACCCAACAGAAACTATTTTGCCCTTATCTCTAATTTTGTTGAAGAGAGAGTATAGGCAATAATAGGAAGGAACCAAGGGTTCCTGGTTGAGATAAGGACAGCTATACAGGGAGTTGACTCACATTAATTTCCTGTGCGTGTGTGTTACCTTCTAGGTTAATTCTTTTTGATCTAACCTTTTCTCTAGTTCCTGGTCCCCTTTTCCTATTGGCCTCAGTTGCTTTTAAGGTATCTGGTTTAGTTTCTCTGCATTAAGGGCAACAAACGCTAGCTAAGTTTTTAGGTGTCTTACCTATCCTCACCCCTCCCTTGTGTGCTCTCGCTTTTATCTGAACTCATGTCTTTACCCTTGGGACTCTACCATTTGAGCCACACTCCCAGACCCAAAAAAGTTTTCTTATTTTTTATTATTGTTGCCAGTGGGTACATTTTGAACTTACCAAAGTTCTTATAACATATCATAGTCAAATTCCCCCCCTCCATCATTCTTCTTTATCCCCCTCCCCCATTCATGGATTAGTTTCACAGGTCTCATTTTTCCATTTACATCCATGAGTATGTAATACTTCCAAAACATTCACCTCCTACAACCTTTACTCATGTCCTCCTCCCTTCCATGGGTTCCTGCTCCCCAGACAGGACCTTCCCGTCCAAAGAACTTCCAAAGACAAAAATTTTAACTTCCCACAGGCTCCACAGTGGATGTGAACAAGCTCTCCGTCCATCTTTTGTTATTATCAGGTGTGTTTAAATCTTGTGTGATCTGCTGAGTGGTACACTGCCCTGAATTCTGTGAAAATCTGCCTCCCAGAAAGGCTATGCTGCCCCAAATGTAAGGTAAAGGTTGAGGTAGTGTTCCCAAGGTAAATGTAATGTGCTGAATTGAATGATAAAGTGAAAATGTGAGATCTCGGTGAGGTTGGATGGTGGTATGGGAGAGGAGTCCAGTCCCCTCTGTGCAGCATTGAATTCTGCATCCTGAAAGTTCCCGGTTTATCCTTAATAGTGGTCCCCTTGGAACTGCAAATACCATGAGTCTACTGTTTACCCTGAAGTAACATCATTGCATCAGTTGGAAATTCTGTTTTAATTTTTTCAGGAGCCATCCTATGTTTTCACAGTGGCAGTACCACTTTACATTTCTAACAAAAGTGCATGAAGGTCCTAGTTTCACCACCTCTTTGCCAATACTTGTTAGTTTCTTATTTTCTGTTTTGGTTTGATGGTTTTTAATTGTTATTTATTTATTTGATTCAGGGTCTCCCTATGTTTTCTAGGCTGGCCTTAGTCTGCTGAGCCTCCCTCCTCACTCTCCTGAGTGCTGGGATTACACCCCTGCCACCATGGGTTTGTTCTGTTTTGAGTGTAGGCACCCAATGGATGTGAGGTGATATAGTTTAGATTAGCATTTCCCTAATGGTTAGTGATGTTGAGCAATTTTCTGTGTATTTATTGTCATATCTATTCTTTGAAGAAATGTCTATTCACGTCCTTTGACCACTTTTGAATTTCATGTTGGCTTTATTTTGTCATAGAGTTATTGTTCTGTATATGTTCTATAAATCAATGCTTAGTCAGATTTATGATTTCCTAATATTTTGTCTGGTTCTCTTAACTGCTTTGTCTTTTGGTTTTAAGACTCAGGAAATCTTTTTCTGTAATTTGTTCCTCTTTCCTTCTGTCCTTCCCTGCTACCTGCCCTTCCAGCCCTTCCTTCTTTCCTCCCTCCCCTACTTCCTGCTTTCTACCCTGGTCCTTGTGTCTCTGATGTATTTGAACCCAGGACCTTGCACATACTACCCATGGGCTCTACCTCTGAGGTTCATCCCCATTTTGAATTGGCTTTTTATTTAGTCTTGAATTCACAAAACTTTAAAATTTTCATGAAGGTGTATTCATCTGTTTTTCTTTTTTCCTGTGCCTTTGATGCCACAACTAAGAAATCACCAAATTTGATGTCACAAAGCTTTTGCTTTGTTGTGTACTGACACTGGCCGCCCTGTGTGCTTCTTATTGTTTGCTTATTTTGTACTAGAGTTATTGTTTTCTGTATGTTCTATAAATCAATGATTTGTCAGATGTATGATTTTCTAATGTTTCCTCAAATCTCTTAACTGCCTTTTCTTTTTGTTTTAAGACTCAGGAAATCCTTTCCTGTAATTTGTTCCTCCTTCTTTCTGTCCTTCCCCGCTACCTGCCCTTTCCCTTCCTCTATCCTCCCTTCCTTCCACCCTCCTCCTACTTCGTCCTTGTGTCTCTGATGGATTTGCACCCAGGACCTTGCACATACTACCCTTGAGCTCTACCTCTGAGCTACATCCTTATTTTGAATTGTCTTTTTATTTAGTCTTGAATTCACAAAACTTTAAAATTTTCATGAAGGTCTATTTATCTCTCTTTTCATTTTCTTTGCCTTTGATGCCACAATTAAGAAGTCACCAAATTTGATGTCATGAAGCTTTTGCTTTGTTGTGTACTGACAATCGAGTCCCTGTGTGCTTGTTA